TTTGGATAGGATCTGATAGGTAATGGCAACACACTATTCCACTCTCACTGCACCTGATGGGGAAAAAAGCAGACAAGTTACAAATAACACTTTAAGGCCATCAGCAGTCTTTGGAAGCAAAGCTGACCGTGTTAACTGAAACTTTAAACATGGTAGAACATTTCCTTGCTGAGCTTAGATTGCTAAATATTTTCTTCTGGGGATTTATCATATTGAGGCATTGCTAAGAAATAGACTTACAATAGATCAAAAGTCTCTTCTATGGAAAAGCAAAATCCAGTTTTCATGGCTATTGCAATCTAGAAAAATCACATAATTCTAGCTATTTCTGCCCACTGGACCCTCCCTGCATGGTGGTGCAGTGTGAGAGACAAATGCAAAGTACTATTTCCTGATCTCTTCTTGCAGTACTTTGAAGTCAATATATCACTAAAGGAAGAGGTCTACAGAGATTTTAAAACAGAAGTGGCCTATGCCTAACTAAGCCATACCTCAGCACTGACCTATCTCAATATCTAATTTGTTTAAGGGAGTCAGTCCTTCAACCTTCCTGCCGAACTAAGGAAAGAGTGAACTGCCTGCAAGAAAATGACATTAATTTCAGCTTTTTATAATTTCTGTTATACAATAAAAATGTAAAGGCTTGCAAAGAAGTAAGAAAAATAAACACAATAACTAAGAAGAAAACCATGCTACAAACAGACCCAAGGATCATCCAGATATTGGTGTTAACAGGCCAGAACTTTAAAACTAGTGTGGTAAGCTTGTTAAAGAAGAAAAACCAGGGGCAGTGGTGATGTCTGTAATCCCAGCTACATGAGAGGCTGAGGCAGGAGGATCACTTGAGTCCAGGAGTTTGAGACTAGACTGAGCAACATAGTGAAATTCTATCTCAAAAAGGGAGGGGGGAGGAAATAAGGCAGGAAGGAAGGGAGAGAAAAAGGGAGGGAGGAAAAAAGAAAAGGAAAACAAACGATGAACAAATAAGTAAAAACATGGGTAATTTTCATTAAGAAACACTATAGAGAAGAAATTCAAATGGCACACCAGAAATCAAAGGGCATGTGTATTTGTATGTGTGAATATACTCTCAGATATATAATCCAAATTGGGAACTGATTGCATGGATTTAAAACCAGATTGACAAAAGACAAGATTAATGAACTCGAAGAAAAGTCAACATAAAATATTCAAACCAAAGCCCAGACAAGCAAATAACATGGAGAAAAGGGCAAAGAAACATTTGGGATATAATGTTTTTACAGTCTAATATACATGTTATCATAATCCTAGAATAATGGAGGAGAGTATAAATGGGACATAAATAATCTTTGGGAAAAGATAATGGCTAAAAACTGTTCACAATTGAAGCAGGATGCATTCAAGGACTTTGGAGAACCCTAAGTCATATAAATATACAGAAAACTGTATTTAGATCCATCATAGTAAAACTTCTGAAAATCAAGAATAAAGCTTTTAAAAGCAGCAAGAATAAGAAGAATGAATAATATTAAGAGTACAATTTTGAACAGAAACTATGAAAACAGGGAAACATGTTATCTTTAAAGAGCAGGAAAAAAATCCTTTATCTAGTTTTAAATTCAATGAAAATAGCTTTCCAAAGCCAAAATAAATAAATGCATTTTTCAGACACATAAAAGCTGGGGAAATCATTGGTGAGTAAAGAAATGCAGCAGAAAGTTCTTTAGACTGAAGCAAATGATCTCAGATATAAGCCTGGTACCACAAGAAAGAATAAAGAGCACAAGTAGAAGTATTATGCCCCTAGGGCAATCACAAAGAATAATACAAAGAGAAAAACTGAAGAGGTCACAGAAGAAATAAAATGGAATGATTCAGAATAATTGATTGAAATGTTTCTGATAAAATAATACCAAGGTTCCTTAACATAGCATACTAGGCCTTTCATGATCTGGCCCCTCTATCTGTGTAAGTTAATTCACTTCAGAATCTAGCCATTGAGAACTACATGTAGCTGCCTTAGCCTATTATGTTATTCATGCTACTCATATTGGCATATGCTATTCCTTAACCAAAAATATTTCCTTTTTTTCTTTCCTGGATAATAGCAACTTAACTTTTAATATATAGCTTTCTTTCAGTCAAGTTCTCATCACAGGCTGTATATAATACCTGATACCTACAACTTAAAGGAGGAGAGGTTTATTTTGGCTTACAATTTTTATTGGATTTAGTCCATAGTTGGCTGATTCCAAGGCAGGAAGACCATGGTGGAAAGGGCCTGGCAGAGGAAAGCTGCTCACACTGTGGCAATCAGGATGCAAAGAGGAAAGAGAAGCCCTTTGAGGTCACACCCCTAGTTATCTGCTTTTTCTGCCCAGACCCTACCTCCTAACAGCTCATTCACCTATGAATTCATCAGTGGATCAATTCATCTGACTATCACACCCCATGATCCAATCATTTCCTAGAAGCCCAACTTCTGAACACATGAGGCTTGGGGGGGGGGCATTCTAGATCTAAACTATAACAAATTCAGACATAATCTTGTTTTTCCTAAGAAACCTCTTAATTTCCAAAGGACCCAGGGCTTATTATTACCAAATCATTGTTGTAGAATATAATTCTTTATTTCCCCAACCAGACTTTTCAAGATCTTTGAAGGTTAATCCTACACACATCTCTGTGAATCTAACATCCAATATAGATGCTAGTACACTCAATATCTAACTTAGAAAATGCTGATTACATAAAGAGAAGGTATTCAATATCTATGTTATAATCATTAAATATATACAGGGACAGACGTTATTTGTATATTTGCTGGTGGAAGTCTGTGCTATTATGCAAGGGATGTTATAATTTACTTCCTTGTTCTAAATGATACACCACTAGCTCAAACTCAACATGTTCTACACTTGAATGATTCCATTTGGTTCTACTTGTGCATCAAACTCATTTAAATGTCTAAACATCTGATGTTGCCCATAACAACCAACTTGGCACTATTACTACCTCTGCCCTTCCTTATTCATCCCTGATGTCTTTTCTCACATTATTTCTAGTCTTGACTTCCTGGCCTCCTCTCTCATAGTTTGAATGCCTATTTATTCATTAAGCCTCAGCTCAGATGTAACCCTTACTCTAAACTTCTTCCTCAACACCAGAAAGAAGGAATCTGACCTCTTCCTCCTTGGAGCATTTTCAAAATCTCACTTGTACCATTCCATCTCACAAACTCTATTCTCATCAATAGTTTGCATCAATCTATCTTACAAGTTCAGAAACTTTTAAAACACAGAACTTTTCACTTGCCGAAAAGGCAGGTAAGTGCAAATATTTCTTAAGGGGGCAAAGAATAAAAGCTGAAGAAAGAAAATTAAAAAGCAAAAGAAAGAGCATCTTTTAAGAAGTTACAGGGAAATTTTAGAGTAAAATCTAATACCAAGAAATCTATGATGAAAAATTTTTTTCCTTGAAAGTTTCTTAGAGTCTTTTAGGTATTTTAGATATTTTTACCCAGCCATCACCCCAGGCCCTGCATGCACATCCCCGCCCCCATAAGAATTCATCTGCACCTTCCTTGTCTCTCTCCCACTGCTTGCTCTTCAGATTTTGCATACCCTGTTACCTAATTATCTCATCTCAACTCTGAAGCTTTGCTCCATTTTGGTTTCCAAATACTTTATGGTTGCACTATTTATACTGCTTTGTCCTGGCTCTCTGGATCTGTTTTACTAACTGTTCTGCCAGATTCTCCCTGCATCTGGCTTGTAGGAACAAGACAAAAATTCCTCACATTCATTCTTGAAGGTGGATCGTACTTGTTAAAAACAATGGGGCGGATGGTAGATTCAAAGCCCCATCAGGCTTTCACTAATGATTATTCACTAATGGTTATACACAGCCCTAAAGTTTATGGCTTGGCATTTTTAATACAAATGAGCAGAAACCATAGATGATCTACACAGCAACAAATCAAATGATTATGAACTTAACAAAGAGGAATTCTAAGAAAAGATAAAAGGAAACTGATGATAACTGGACTGGAAACTGTGGTGATGAGGAATGTCAGCTGTACCTTACTTATAAAAGGAATTTTTTAAAAAATATGAATTTTTGAGCAGCTGTTTTCCCTCTCCATAAGGGATCAAGCAAAGGGGAGGAGATTAAATTTGCACAAGTGTGGATGTAAGGAAACACCTTCCTTCTGAAAGGGTTATTATTGCTCAAGGATGATGCTGAATTCCTTGTCAGAGGATTTGAAAAGTTTAGAAACCACAGATCTCAGATGGCTGCAGTGTAGTTTGGAGTTTTGAACTGTTACAAGTTGGAAACTTGCACTTTCATAAATGATCTTTAAGGAGCTCCCTCAGTGTCCACATGCTTTCTATGTGCCTCACAGGTTGGACTGCTTGTGCTCCCCCTGGGCCCCCCTTTGCGGGAATGATTTTGTACAGAAATTGTTCTTCAAATTCTTAGGAACTCAAAACCCTAGAATAGTCTGAAAAATAGACCATTCTTTTGCATATCTTGTTTCTGAATCTTTAGAGATCATTCACTTATATTTTCTATGTTGGGTTTTTTTGTCCTCTCTTATTAGCCTAGCTAGCACTGCAGCTGGCAGCCTCTGAGACAATACATTTTAAGTGGCCTCTATTTTTAGAGGCATGAAAAGAACAAAACCAGATTGCTAAAGACTCTCTTCTAAAGCAGTCTCATGATGGCTCTTTCTTTGGTATCAGATTTGAAAATTAATATTATTTTGGAGGGAGCAGTTCTCATTCATTGCATTTCAGGATACATGTTCATGGAATTCTGATTCAGAGAAATGACAAAATAAAAGCATCTCCTTTCTGAAAGCACAGATCAGCAGCTGAGCTATAATCTCAACAGTTAAACCACATTTCACTGCAATCTACAAGGCAAACATATATTATTTTCATGCTTTTCTATTTCAATTTTAATTGCGTTCCATGGACAGAGATAATAGAGGTAGATGATGGCTGTGGACTTACTTTCAGAAAGTAAAGGAAGCTCTGGAATTCTGAGATGTTCCTCTGGCTCTTTCTTAAAATATTTCTCAGGGTCTAGAAGAAAGGCAGGTTTATTCACCTCAGGCAACTCTGTCAGGGCTCTGATGCTTAATGACCTAAATGTGCCTTCAGGACAACAAATTTTAGAGAAGGAGAGGGGAGAAAAGGACAATAATATTAATTCTTTACAAGGAGCAATCACATTTCCAAGTTAACTGTTTTTAAAATTTAACCTTCCTATTACTCAGCTGCTACAACTGCTGTGATCAGCAAACCTAATAAACACAGCTGTTCAAAATAAATCCAGAGTCCTTTCTATTCAAAGGAACCAAGACTGACTTAAGCCTTCCCTTTCATTTATTTTGCTTTTTTTGTGCTTTTTTGCCTGAAAATTAATATCCTGAAGTTTTGGGGAAGCTCCAGTTTCTCTTTTATCTACCAGAAAATTGTATCCTTTGTGAAATGAAATCATTTTTTTCAGTGTTCAATTTAACAAAACATCAAAAATTTTGAATTTGCAGTTACTCTTTCATTTTGCTATAATGTAAACCAGACCTGTGTTGTTTTATTTATTATGCACACAAGATGACGGAAATCTTATTTTAATCATGACCTTAAAAGCAAAGTCATGCTCAAAGTGAAAAAGGTTTTGTTTCATTTGATAAGGGGCCAATGGAATAAAAATCAACAAAAGCTTAATTAAAGATATGATTTCATATTGTGCACTGTGAGTTTGGTGAAGGTAGCAACACTGCTTTTGTCCTCATTGTGTCTCAGTAACTGGGAAAAGGCCGACATTCAGTACCTGCTATGGTACAAGTCAGGTGTCAGTGGTTCTCAAATTTTAACTGGCGTCAGAACCACCCAAATGGCTTACTAAGGCATGGACTGCTGTGTACCACTCAGGTCTCATATTTAATGTGGGTGGGTAGATAAAGGTACCAGAAATTAAATCTTATTATATTTAATAAGTTCTATAATATTGACAATCCTAGGCCAGTGACTCTTTGAGAACCAAAGGACTACGTCAAGTTAAAGAAGAAATCTTTACCAGTTGTAAGGTTTTTATTACACCCATAAGACAGATTGAATAACTCAGGTTCTAGATGCTTTAGTAACTTGCCTGAGTTTATACAGCTGATAAATGGTAGACCATGGACTTGAGTATGTTTAACTACAAAAGCCATGCTCCAAGATGTAACAATAATAACAATTACATTAATAATAAAATTGTATTGAGTTTCTATAATATAATTGTCAAAGTGCTTAGCATATATCTCATGTGATCCTGACAAAAACATTACTCTATAGATTACATTAGTTTATAAGTGGGCATTGAATGTTAACAAATTATTATGCAAGTTTTGACGGCAAAGTTTCACCAGAAGTTCTAAAATCAACATATCTGCTTGATGAAAGTATAACATCCCATTGGCCATGAGTAGAAAAAAAGGATTTGTAGCAAATTGAACTTAAGGAATGATTTTCAACTACCTTTCTAAATAATATACTTAGATATTATAAAGATTCCTTTATTTCAATTATTTTGAGGTGTCTTAGCTACCTTTCTCTTGTTGTGAGACAAAATACCCAATACCGAAAGTTAAAGGGTAAAAGGTTTATTCAGCTCACAATTTGTAAAGGTTTCAGTCCACAATCAGATGGCTCCAAGGCAAGGTGGCATCACAGAAAACAATTCATGGCGGGAAGAGGTTAGTAAAGCAACAAGGGACCCTAGCAGCTTCTTTCTGCCCCTTTTATACTCTGTCTAGGCTACTGGGATTAGAGCAGGGCCAAACCAATCAGTGGACTGATTTAGTATTCACAAACCCTTAATCCCAGCATCACAAATTCCAGATTCAGCCATTTCTGATAAAGCCCCACCTATGACCACATGAGGCTTTGGAGGGACATCTAGACACAAGCCATAACATGAGGGGTGGGAGGTACAGGGAGTGAGAGGAATAGGTCTCACTATGTCGCCCACACTAGTTTCAAACTTCTGTGCTCAAGTGATATTCCCATCTCAGCTTCCTGAATGCTGAGACTACAAGCATGTTCCACCATGCCTGCCTTTCAATTACTTTTTTAAATATTCTTTTTGGTCAGCCAAAACTAAACTAATACCTTGATGTGTGTAGCTTTGGTATTCCTGGGGGAAAAAAGTTTTTATTCATCTTCATTTTTTTATTTAAATTGAATTTATTTTTCACTGGCATGTAAAAACATAAAAATGTACATATTAGTGGGATACCATAAGATGTTTTGATACATATATACATTGTGTAATATTTATATTAGGTTAAACCTATCTATGTCCTCATATACTTATCATTTTTTTTACGGTGAATACATTCTAAACCCTTTCGTGTCTTTGGAAATGTACAGTTCATTATTAGTATCAATAGACAACAACACTATGCAATAGAACAACAGAACTTCTTGCACTTATCTGACTGTAACTTAGTACCCATAGACTAAGTGAGTTCTTCCCATTCCTCCCTACTTACATTCTCTAATTCCAACTTTCATAATCAACTTTTTTAGATTCCACATTTAAGTGAGGTCATTGTCTTAGTTACTTTTCTCCTTACTGAGACAAAATACCCAACATCCAAAATTAAAGGAGGAAATTTTCATTTCAGCTCACAGTTTGTAGAGGTTTCATTCCATAGTCGGCTGGCTCCAAGGCAGAGCGGCATAACAGAGGGGCATCATAGAGCAGAAACAGTTCATGGCAAGCAGACAGAAGATAGCAAAGCAGCAAACAGCAGGAGCAAGACTCTCCTTTTTATCCCTTCCAAGCTACCCATATTTGGGTGGGGCCACCTACACCCAGAGTGGGCCTTCCCATCATCCATGCCCAGTACTATGCTAAACCAATCGGTGGACTAATTTAGTAATCATGCACCCTTAATCCCAGCATCACACATGCTAGATTCAGCAACCTCTGAAAAGCCTCACCTATGACTGTGTGAGGTTTTGGGGAGACATCTCAATACAAGCCATAACAGTCATGTACTACTAGTTTTTCTGTTCCTTGTTTATTTTACTTAGTATTTCCAGTTCTGTCCATGTTTTAACCATTCTCATTTCTTAAGCAGTTAAGGGAAAATATTAAAACTCTAGCGCTGTCTCTGTTTTGGAAATTACAGGACACACTTTACACATGTTTTATGGCTTAGAACTTAGAACTGCATCACATATGCTGTGCAGCCTTGAATAAGTGACATATCTCTGAGCTTTGCTTCCTCTTTTGTTAAGTGGAGATCACAGAACATTATGTTATGTTTACTAAGGAATACAAACAAAACTAGCATACAGAATATAGTACGGTACAGTACAGTAGTACCTCAGTTCATAAACTTAATTTGTTTTATGATTTTGGAGAAGATGGCCACATTTGTGTTTGCAACTCAATATGGAGTTTGTGAACAGAAACAAAATTTTGTTAAGCACTTTTGAGAACCAAATTGTTTGAAGACAGAAAGGTTTGCTAACCAAGGTATTATTGTATTTCTCTTATTCACAGCAATGTATAAAACATTATAAAAACTTATCAACAGTGATTACTTACTGGCTGTTTTTTGTATAATTTCATCATAGTAAAGTTTACGTGCTTTTTTCTTATGGATATTTCTTTCCTTGTATTTTATACCTAAATTTATGTCTTCAGATGGTCTGAAACTGGAAAAAAATAATTTATGATAAAATAAAATAACCACAACAGTGAGCACACAATTTCTAGTTGTAATTATATATATTATTTTGCAAAAAAAATCCTACCACTGTATACTTAGTGACAGTTCTTTATCCTAATCAAGCCATATCTTTGAATAAAATGCCTGCTAGTCAGGTAAAGATAAAAGTAAGAGCCAGAAAAGATGAAAGTCCAGTTAAGCAAAAACTGTTGCCATAACAACTGGAAGTTCAACACAAACTATGCTGAAGAAAATTTCACAGAAACACATACATACTATCCTTATAAATTGCATGAACAATGAAAAGTAAGCATCAGTGGTCTATGTCAAAGCCCTTCATCCAAAGCTAAGGATAGATCTTCACCCAAAAACACACTGTTCAGTTTTTATGAAGCCTGCCATGTGAATCTACAAGAAAAGGTTAGATTAGCTTGAATCCACAGAAAAGGTTCTAGCAATGGCACATGAAGAGTGAAATCATATTGCTCAATAAAATGTCAGAAAGAAGAAAATGATCTCAAATACTTAACATTCACTATTGAATACTCCAACCTTAATACAACTTGTGTTGCCAAAATTCAGTGTTAGTGTCTAGGGAGCAGTGGACTTGAAAAAACACTCATTCCCCTCAAATCTTGGATCATTATGGGGACCTTGATTGCCTTCTTCCTCTTGATTCCCTTCTCTGCATCATATGGCCATTCATAGCTACCACGCTCCTTACCCCCTTACTTTTATTGCCAATTCTGCTACTTATTTCATGCCTGTACAACTTTGAAATGTCTCCTGTATTCTCTTCCCAATTTTCCTTCCAGGTAATGAGGCTCTTGCTGTAGCTTTTAAAAGGTGATCGAATGAATGAAAGTTTAGTGATGTGCCTTGTAAATAATACCATTAAGTATGTGTTCATTTCTCTTCTGCCTTTCCTTCCACTCTATTATTTCTATATCTCCACAAACTCATCTTAAAATATTAATGCAAATAAAATGAAATTTGTGTATCTCTTTTAAAGTTAAGCAGATGCTATTTTTATAGCTTTAAGTAATAATTTATTGATTGCTTTTTTATACATAAGTAAATTTTTGGTTTTAGAATATTTATGATTACAGAAAAGTTGAGACAGTAATACTAAGTTCTCATATACCCCTCACCAAGTTTTCTCTATTGTTAATACTTTACATCACCATTTATCACAGCGAAGAAATTGATATTTGTACATTATGATTAACCAAATTCTAAATTTTATTAGTTTTTTCCAGTTTTTTTCCTAATGTACTATTTCTATAATGTCAAAATCTCTTTCATTATCCAACTCCTGAGCCTTCTCTGGCCTACAACAATTTATCACTTTTCTTTCCTATCATGACCTTGACAATTCTGAGACCTGCTTGTCAGAGTTTTTGGTAGGATGATTCTCAATTTGTGTTTGTCTGATATTTTTCTTACAGTTAAACTGGAGTTATTGGTTGTTTGGAGGAAGGCAACAGAGATGAAGCACTATCCTCATCATATCTGACCAAGGATACACACTACCAACCTAACTTACCAGTGTTGATATTAACCTTGATCACTCGGCCAAGAGTGTTTGTCAAGTTCACAGTAATAACAGCTTACAGTACTCACTGAAATGCTACTTCTTTGGAAGCGAGTTACTAATTGTGGCCTACACTTAAGGGGAGAATGAGGACAGGAGTTAGAAAATGTTTTTTGGTGGAGGGAGCATCTCTATAAGTTATTTGGAATTATGAAATTTTTAGGAGAGTCTTGCCAGGCAAAAGACATAGGGTATGTGAGTAATTTTTCTTCAAACCATGCTGGAGTGGCTTCCTTACAATATACCATCGCTTTTAAATAAGAGCATATTTTCAACTGTGGTCTGGGTTTGACTACAAGAACTATCATTTTAAAATAATAAGGGAATCTGTAACAATAAGAAGTCAATAGTGAATCCTGGAAAGGTATCTGTGAAGTATTTAGGCCTTCCAGTTAATTGAATTAAGAAAACATTTCCCCCCCGAAAATCACTGTAGGTATAAACTGAAGTGTAAAATGTTGAGAGGCCAACTATAATAGGAAGATCTCTCTTCCAAAAGGCACCAACCCCAACAACCCTAAACCTAATAGTAACTCTCTTCTAGGATTGTAGTAGGGTTAAGAATTGAACACATAAACATATTAGAACAGTGCCTTGAGTATGGTAAGAGCTCAGTAAGTACTGGTTACTAAACAAGACTGTTTTTCATTCAAAGCAGGGAGTTTTAACTGCTCCCTATCACTAATTATAATACTGTTGGGAACTATCAGAATAAGAAAGTAAAGAGACAGAGCAATTCCCAAACTAATACCTTGGTCCTGTAATATTTTTAAGGCTTAAATTTTGAAAATTAAGTAGACTTCCATTTGCTTTCATTTGTCATATCTGGGCAAAGGATTATTTTGGCAAAGGTAAACTGTCAATTCTCTACGTGTTTTATATCATATAAGGCCTAATTTAAAATGGGACTTTAATATTTAATTTTTTTCCTTAAATTAATTTTCTAATTTAATTTTTCTCATGAAATATCCTGGCAGAAAAACTAAATAATCAGTAGCATACAAGTAATTGTAAATGTTAGTTCCCTCTTAACAGTAATATGGAATGTGGAACACTGTAATTTCGTATGTTTAAGAAACATTAATTTGAAATGTGCCTTCTGCTATGTAGAAACTTTCTGGAAGTTAATAGAAATGGCTCTTTCACTTCTCATCTGATTCTTTATCCCAGTTTGTAATAATGACTCCTCCCTGATAAGCAATTTTTTTGATGGTAGAAAAGAGAAAATGTGTCTGATAATAGAAGGGGAAATAGAATTGCTTTTTGTTGCCCTAAAATATAAATGAAGATAAATGAATCACAATTCTACAAATGAATAAATTTGCCATAATATTAGAAATGTTCTCTAATAAAGAGTAGTTTAATAACAGAGAATATCTATAAGACAGTGAATGAATACACTGCATAAATATGATTCAAAAGGGCTAGAGTGTGCTTCTGAAAGATGTAAAGGACTTAGTCTTGGTAGACTTCTAAGAGCTCAGTCAGTTTTATTACTGAATTTTTAGAAGTTAATCAATGTTTAAAAATACACACTTTCAAAAATATATATATATTATATACACTTTCCCAGTAAAAAAATACAATTACAAACAATGATAAATTATCATGGCAGTAGTTTTAATTCAATAGCAGCATCCAATCTTAGTTGAGAGGCAGGAAATAGCCATTTCCACAGCTTGGGGAGGGATACACATTTCCAGACAGCAATTTCAGCAAAATGACCCAAAGGCTTTTAAATCTTTTGACTCAGCAATTCCATTTCAAAGAATGTGTTCTAATGATGAATTCAGTTGGGTACTCTAACACATGTATATGAAGGTACTCACAAAAATATTTTCCCAGCCTGTGTAAACAGCCAACAGGTTTGAAAAGAAGAAAATAGTTAAAAAGTTACATGATAAATTCCTACGGAGTCATTATGCATATTGATGTACATAGAAATTTATATTAATTAATACAGAAATTTATTCTTTGTATATTTTAAATGATAAACAGGATATAAGAGCTCTGCTTTATAAAATTTTGTATTTGTTTATTTTCCTAAGTATGCCCAGAGCAGTCTAGAGAGGAAAATGTTTAAATGTTGCAATGATTTTGCTATAGGGAATCATTTTTATCCTTTTCATTTGTTTGCTTGTACTTCAAACTTTTCATATAATGAAAATGTGTTATTTTTACAATAAAGTATTCTAAGTTTACGTTGCCTAAATTATTTATTTTGTGTATAATTTTCTAGAAAAAAATAATTTTGTGTGAGCCCAGAAAACAAATATTGCTACAGATTAAGAAAAATGCATGTGCACTATTGGTTTTGTTTTTCAGTTGATTCCTTCATTTCTTCATTTTTTTCCTTTTCTAACTAGCATAATTGTCGCAGATTTGAAGAAAGGGAAAATTCTATTTCTCTGTATCAATTGTTAATTTAACATTAGGACTTCCTATTAGTCTTTTAAATTCTATATCCATAGGTATAGATAGGTAAGTCTTCATCTCCCCAGGATTTAAATTACAGATAGTTCTTTACAACCTACTTATTTCTCACATACAGTATTATAAAATTCTCTAAGCATGATGGAAAACTAAGTGTTTATGTATAAGCCAGAAGGTCACATACACTAAGGTTGTTATCATGGAAAGATCATCTTGGCATTAGTCTAACAATGTAGCTTCAAATCAAGACATTTCTTCATATATATTGCATCCTCCATTTCCTGTTGCCTTTTGCTTTTCCCATGTACATGTTTTATGACCGTATTCCCCTCCTCATCTAAGCATATCCCCACTGGCAGGCACATACACCAAATATCCTTTTTCCTTTTTGTTTTGTCTAACTTCTCACACGCATTTATTCTTCTTTCATGCTATCGCATACAAATGATAATTGGTATAATTCTCACGTTGAGTTTACTAATCTGATTAGGTAAGGAGCACATTGTTCAGAAAATATTTTACGAGGGAGAAAATGATCTTTTACTGGATAGAAAGTGCACAGGACATTTGAAATCTGAAAACTTTAGCATGCTTGTGTGATTTCTGCAGAAGATTTTGGTCACTTTTGTGGAAGAAGAGGTGAGGCATGCACCTGAGAAGTCGATTCAGAGGACACATTTTTAACCATTTTTTTCTATTACTTTAGTAATGCCTAAATGGCATTATTCTGAACCATCTGTTTACTATAATCCTAAAATTTTTTCAGTCTAGTCACAAGTGAGATAAAAACAGATATTTCAGAGGCTATAAGTACTTTTTAATGAATGATTTTATGCTTTGAAAAAAAAGTTTACAACGGACAAAACTTTGCATCTCCACCTTAGATCTCTTCCCCAGCTCAGAGTGAGATCGCTCTATGTTCCTATTTAATCTGCTAGATAACAAAGCTGCAGTTTTAT